ATTTCAAAATAAAAGCATTATCTGTCAGATTCTGTAACCGGGCTGATTTTTATTTTGCCACATGTGGATCAGCTTATCATAGCTTTTGAAAGGACAGTGAGATTACCCAGAAGTCTCTGAGTGTCGGCCATGATAAGAGCTGTTCAAATTCTTCAAATGATAAGGAAAGGAGGTTCATTGCTTCTTTAATTACCCCCTTACTGCAAAAGATACAACAGAACATACGTTTCAGGAGGAAGAAGGAAGAATGACCTACATTTCATGTTCATGTGGATTTAAAAGAACATGATCTGATTTCACTGCGTAAATAAAAGATCATTCAAAGACTCGTATAAGGTTCACATTCAGAGACGTTTCCTCAGATCTTCAGACTTTCTCAACAGCTGAAGGCCAGGTGTCCTTCCTCATTACCTGTAAACATCTGTTAAAAGTGATGCACTCGCTGATTCTGCTGAATAAGTAAACAGATAATGATGTGAATGAGGGAGACTCTCTCTGAGTTGCACAAAGAAAAAAACACTTTGATCCAGTGCATCTGCAGCTCTCTTTCGCATCAGACGACCCTGCTTTAAAACTACTAGAGCCCTCTTCATCTCCTCTTCATCAATGCTTCCCTCTGTATTAACTCTGAACCGATCGTCCACACACTGGCTGTCATTTTCCCTCTCACTGGTCACTGGTCAGCTGTTACTCATGCATGACGGCTGCTCAGTGATCCTGTTAATGATGGAGGTTAAAGCAGGTATTTGAGCTTGTCTTTAGTCCTACCTGTGATGAAGATGATAACTGAGCCTGTCGGATTCAAGGAAGTGAATGTTTCCGCCGTAAGACCGCACCACACACTTCAAACCCTGCACTGAATACTCCCTTAATAAAGAATTATAGTGAGAAAAAAAGTTTTTGTTTCTGAAAGTGAGAAAATGTAAATTTATGAATGTGAGCACGCATAAAGGAGACTGTTAAAGGAGAAACACAGTGAGAGATGAAATAATGATCAGACAAATCAGCAAAATCAGACAATTCAGCATCATGAATCACCCAGAAGAGGACTCAGGCATCATATAGTGTGATATAAGTAACATTTACAAGGTGCTGATAGAGAAAAGAAACTGTCATTTGGAAAAAGACAAGGAAAAAAAGTACTAACAGTCGGTAAATAGTCTGAGTGCACCAAAATGTTCCAGGTTGAATTTAGGAGCAACAATACCGTTTAATGCAGCGTTATTTAATCCTATCGCTTTCTATATGTTGAATACAAATCCAGGCAGTTAAAAAAGTACCTGATTTAATCCTGTGGAGATAACTTCTCTTCTCAATCTGAAGGGTGCAAATTTTAATAAGTGTTCACTTTTCATATAAACATCTATCCAAAGGCACCAAGAGAGGTGACTTTAGGGGTGAAGTTATGATTGAAACCCCAGAATGATTACTTTTATTTTTTTATTTTCTACTAACTGGAACTTTTTAATTCTTCCTCAACCTGCAGCCTCAAACCCCTCCCATCATAAAATAAAGACATCTTTTGTTACAGTTTCATTCCTGTCAGTTAAAATCTAATTTGAATCTCTGTTTCGTCTTTTTTTTTTTTTTTTTTTTAATTGACTTTGGGCTCCTCCATAAATCTGGTGGAAACTTCAAATGCATGACTTTAATACTTGTGGCCCTGATCCTCCACTGTACAAACATGCCTCTCTCACCCCATAGGTGTGCATTACTGCTCCAATATGCCAGATTACCCCTCTAATCTGTGAAACCAGAGCAAACCTGACCTGACAAGCCACTGTCCACGAGTGGAAGATTTTCACTGTCAGATTTTGGGCCTGTGTTTTTGTGTATTGTTCATCACACACACACACACACACACACATGTGATTCCCACCAGAGCTGCTCCCTCCACACAACACATGCAGTCCTGGGACCACGCTGCATACCTCAGGCCCTTGTCTAAACAGGAAAAGAAGTCTGAATCAGTAGTCCTTTGTAGTGGATCACTTTGGTGGGCAGGCAGCCAACTCAGCTCTGTATGACAGCTCCGTGCTGAGAAAGAGGAGGAGGAGGAAGAGGAGGAAGGGGGGCTGCTGGGAGTTAAGTTGTGGATCCTGACCTGATGATGAGCTGCATCTTTAGCTTTGTTTATGGTGATGAAGAGTCTGTTTGGTGAAGCTTTTTGACAGCATTGTTTATTAACCCTTAGCTATTTCATTGTAGAGGATGTGACTCAGATTGTGTTTGATTTGTTGGAGGAATATTTGCTTTTAGATTCAGATTTCAAACCCAAAGTTGTTTAAGTGTTTTAAACTTTTTAAAGCTGCAGATTTAGGGGTAAAAATCAAGCAGCATCCTCTGGGCTTAAGAAATGAAGCTGACGCAGAAGTCCTGAAAGCTGCCAGAGGCTGGCTGCAGAACCACATGTGCACTCATTGAAAAGAGTCTGTTTTTGGAGCAAAAAATTAAGATGTTTGTATTCTGGTTTGCATTCAAACTGAGAAAAAAATAACTAATACAGAGGGAATCTGCAGGCAGCTGAATCGCTGCTAAATCTTGAAAACGCTGTCGCTGCAGAGACAGGCCAGTTTGAGATCTGACACACTCTCAGCTTCTGGCAGAGGACGACACTTGTGAAACATCCGGCAGCTTCCTCCTGAAAAAGCCTCGTGTTTTGACAAGAAATTCCTTCTAAGAGCCACTGTTTGAAATGTTGGACTGTGTACACAATGTGAGTCCAAACGCCTGCACCCCGCCACTGAGCACCGGCTCAGGAGGCGGTGCTCACCGTACGGCCGCCACATCTCAGGGTTGTCAGGTGGTTATTGTTTGCACTGATTGAGGAGGTGAATCAAGTATGGAGGTGATTGCGTGAGAATGACACAAAATGACAGAAAATGTTGGTCTGTGTGCAGATGTGAGAGAGCAGAAGCATGGTAAGACTCTCTGCTATGGGTCTGAACTCAATTAAAAACACAAAGGAAAGAAATATACATAAAAAGGAACACTGTGTCCATGGGAGAAGGCTTTCCCTCTGTTTTCTAACCAAGAAAATAAGCCTAATTTAAAATAAATCTCCTCGTCAGACCTCAGAGACTGTTTGTACAAATCATTCTAATTAGAAACAGTTAGGACCAGTGGTTTGTGGCATCCACAGAAAGAGTTTCTCCGCTCACATTTTTGTTGGACCCGGCTGATGAATACATTGTGTGGCATTCTTATTTTTGTATCACACTTCATAAATCCACAGAAAAATCACACGAGGAGCTGCACCCAGCACCCACAGGCCTCAGCAGCACACCAGGTGCCTCACTCTTCCTTTTTTTCTGCACTAAAGGAGCCGCAGTGGGCAAATTTGAGCTTATAAAACAGAGAGAATAAAAGATCTGCAGAGCTTAATAAGAGTTAGAGAAAAGAAGCTAACGGGAGGTTTCTGCAGGTACCAAGTCTCTGCACAATCACAGCATTAAAAAAAAACCACTTTCTCATCAAAAATGGTGCAAGAAACCCAAAAAAGAAACAAAGCCAGACCTCAGCTCTGTTATTCACGAGCACCAATTAGAGGAAATAATAACAGACTTGTCCTCCTGTATGTGAACATTTTTGTGTGGTTAAAGGTACAGTGTGTAGTTTTCATATCAATATTCACTTTTTGGTGGTTTTGTGTGAACTTAAAAATGTTGTCTGTGTGTGGTTTTCAGTTTTTAAGCCATTTATAGGTTTCTACCACACTCACACACTTTTTACTTCTGCAAATCCTTATGTTGTATAGTTAGTATAAAAAAAGACTAATTAAACAGAACAGGTTTGGCATAAACTGAATATTACATCCATCACTGTGTTTAAAAATGTGTGTAATCACCAGAATAAAAAAACATTTTGTTTTTTCGACTCCAAGAAGGAGGCCAACTCGCACCGCCATGTTTCTACTGTAGCACAGAAGGGACAAACTTGGACAAACATGCATGAAATGCACCTGCAAGAAGAGGTTGTCTTTCAATGAAGCATAGCGTTGGTTCTGTCAGGACACGATGTCAAGCGCTGATCTGCAGCCAATGGCGAGTAGCCACCTCAACCAGACAACCAGATAGTCAGCTGATTCACTCCTAGCTCCTATTGGTCCTATGCCTATAGAGCGCCTTATTCAAAACTGCACTAACCCAGCCTCTTCCTCTGCTTCGACAGCTAACTAGCGACCCACCGCCACCCCAGCCCCACTCTCGTGCCAGCTAATCGCTCCGCTACCCTGTTCATCGCTGCTCTATTGCAGCAAACATTTTGGGCTCTATTTTCATGTGCGCCGGTGAGGCGGCGGAGGGTGGCGGACCCCGCGCAGTTGTATTTTCGTCTGGCAGAACCCAGCGTACAGCCAGTTTGGTATTTTCGTGGACTGAGGCGCACCGAGATCCGCCAAGCTGGGCGTGGTGGCGTGGCAGGGGGAGGTGTCGACAGAATCAGTGGGCGCAGTGACATTTTCGTGCTCGCCACCCGCATGTAAAGTGCGCTGAAAGCTTGCCGATTCAAACATGGTCAGCTTTCAGCACAAGCAGAGCGCAGCTGGTCTAGTGGTATTTTGGTAGACCAGCGGGGTATGGGCATACATCACCGATGCCTCACCGGCACGTTTCCACAGTGTCAGGCACATTTCAGTGCAATAAAAAATCATCAACAACTAATAATCTGAGTCAGCACATACATTTAGATCTATATAGATATATTCTGATCTATATCAGATGTGATGAGAGCGTTTGGCACGCGTTTGGACACACTACCTGACCGAATCAACGCAGCTGAAACCGCATTAAATTAAATTAAATATCTCGTAGATAGACACACATGATGAAGTTAACAAGATATGTAATTCATATCCCTCCTTGTCTTTCTTCCCCTTCCTCTTATTTCTCGCCCAGCCGGACCTGGACATGTCTCCGTGTCCTCTCCCCGTCCTGCTGCAGCGGCTGAACAGATGATTTGTTTCAGTGATCAGATTAGTTATCTACTTTAAGCCTACATACGAATATTATAATATTCAGTTTTTTGAGCCAAATTTATTTTATATGCCAACATCTATGAAAGAAAGAGCCAGGCCACGGAGCGCGATGCGTCATTTACGCACAGATGGTTACTCACGGAAATAGTAATACACCTCGCCGGTGGCGGATTTAAAGGCGAGGAGACGAGCTGATTTTATTGGTCAATACAGGTCTCGGCTGTGTTAAAGCCACTCCACGCCCTCTCTCCTCCCTCGCTACGACTTACGCCGCTGGGAGGAGATGAGTTAGGGAGGGGGGATACAGCCGGGCTGCGCAGCTCACCAAAATACAAAATTGTGCTTGGGAACGCCTTGTCGGCGCGGCGGACCTGACTTACACCGCGCCTGCGGCACGTCTCCGGCGAGGCACGAAAATAGAGCCCTTTGAGTGCAGTGCTCTCACATTTACTCGCCAAACTGAAATCTACCTGTATTTCACATCTGGGGTGTTTATTTTTGACCCTACAGCAGCCCGATGGTGGAGTAAAGCATGCAGGCTGCAGAGACAGGTGAAGCTGCAGTCTGACTGCAAGAGGTGATCAGCAGTTTGAGTGTAGGTAAATATCTACACAGCATAACCTTTAGGCTGCACAGGTTTGAAGGAACATTATCAAAATAACTAAAGTAATAATGAGAGTCCTGTTTCTTCTGCAAAATACAATGTAATAATCCATTTTTACTGTGCCGAAAATTATTAAAAAATATACAGAAATCTGCGAAACACCCTTTTTTTTTTTTTTGCAACATGCAACTCACCAAACACTTTCTGTGTGACCCTCAGCCATACGCAGAAACAAACTTCCTTGAGTAAAAATAGATGAGGTTATAGAAACAGGTGTGTTAAGGACCTGGTTCCACATTTTCCAAAGCTTTAATGTTACAGCTTGTAATATCAATACAACACATCCTGCAGCTGAGTTTCAATGGGTCCCTGTTACATACCTGCACCACGATGTGTTCAAGGTCAGGTATGAAAAATTTGTATCATGCAGAGGTAAGAAAGAGATCGTCCAAGAACACAGAGTTTAGGAGTAGTTATTCATTTTCCCAACATACATATTTGGCTAAATACAGAATTTTACTGTTAAACTATAATCGTATTATCACAGATATATCATTCAGACTACTGATGTTTTAAATGCAAATACTGAAGTTACAATAAAAGCCAACGTTTTTTCCACTCCGGTGTTGATAAGACAACTAAATACATGTCCCTTTAGGCACAGAAAGAAGTTTACAAATGTGTGATTGGTGATGGGAAATGATGGGAATGATGATTTGACAGCCCTGAGCACCCCAAACCTCGACCACAGCATTAATTAAAAATGACCTGAGCTTGTTAGAACTAGTTTCAGTATTTTTTTAGAGAAACCGTTCCCCTAAACGAGCCCTGAAACCCTGGAACCCTGGAACATGCTCCTCTGAGGCCATCTTGATGACCTCACTGACTAAAGGTCATGTACAGGCTTCCCATGAAACACTAGAACGTGGTGGTGCAGTGCAGCTGCATGTTCGTGACCACAGTTTCATTTCCAGCATCCAGACATCAGGACTTTCCATGATTTCAGCCTGAGTGACTCTGAAGATAATTGATATTATTTGTGAAATAAGTAATTGCTGCTTCGTTTTCCACCCTGACAGATGAGCTAGTGTTACTGTGGGCAGGATCCTCTGGCTGTTTGTCACGTCCATTTAGGGGAGGAACGGGCACAGAGGGGACAAACGTGGACCAAAGGAGGGAAAATGACCCCCAGTGCACCTTCCAGGCCCTCCGCCCTCTCTGCTGTCAGCGTGGAGATGTATACCCTCTGAAGAGCCCGACACACCCCTCGCTCCTTGATGTGTTGGCCTCTTTAACCCTGCTTGAGAAATCTCCTTTCAGTGTGGCTCTTTGAGGGACTTATTCCCAGTTGAGTCACTGCTGGTCATAATGGGAGGGTGTCAAGGGGGCATGGACGGGCAGGCAGTGCTCACACTTCACTCACTTCATGTTTGAGTTTCAGCTGCTGAAAGTCAACATCGCTGAATAAAAGTTTACTGAGCCAGAGCAGACGCTGAAGCACGGCTTTTATCCCAGTTCAAAAGAAACAATCTCCTATTAATCAAGCTTCAATGACACAGCAGAGGTTTCAGCACATCATGTGTACAGACATTTTTAGAACAAACCTCTCTGTATAATACTCTGGTTTTACTGCAGATCTAAAATGCTCTTATTCTCATACGGTTACCTTCCTCTCACAAGTAGAGTGATGAAAAAAGGCGTCTCAGGACTGATATAAACTGCAGGACCTCTCAAACACTGAGGCAGAGTGGGTCTCTATTCACAGGACTACAACTACCCCTGCTGTGGGAAGGATTCTGGTAGATTTAGCCAGGTTATTTTTAAGAAGGAGGAGGATCGAGAAGCAGATTTTGACTGACTTCACATACAAAACGAAAACGTTTACTTGTGCACACAAAAAAAGCAACTCAATTCTTCACATTTGATTTTGTCTTATTCCTAGGGAAGTGTCTTTTCAGGTTTGACTGAGTGCACATTTACTTTACAAGCCCAAAGAACTGGCTTATTTGATCATTTTAAATTAAAAAAAACTGAGACAGAAGTTGCTCGTAATGAGTTATTTTATTCTTCAGGTGCTTTTTTGTTTTGTTTTTTTATCTCATTTTTTCTCTTTTTTTTTCTTTTCTCATTTTTTGCATTTAATATCTTGAAATAATACATTTTAGCTTAAATCAACCCCAACTGAGACTTTTTAGTGGAAATAAGTGAAAAAAAAAAAAAACTCCAGCTCAGGTTTGAGTCTTTTTGTAATAGTGCAGACACTTGGTGCAGCCCCACCTAGGTGTATGTCCACTTAGATTAAGGTCAAATATGATAAACTTATTCATCCTACGGAGGGGAAATTTGCAATGTTACAGCAGCACAGGATCAGCACAGCAAACACAGAAGAAAATGTACACTCATCATACACACAGTGCACAGATAATTATAAAAAGTTAACTTTTTATAAAGAAAAAAGAAGAAAAAAATTAAAAAGAAGAAAATATAAAAAAGAAAAAAAATGTAAGCTGCGAGTTGGATATAGCACCACTGAAAGCAGCAACAACCTAATTTAGAGCAGTTTTGCCAATTTGGCTATGGCTCCCTCTAGTCCAGAGTTGGGGTACTTTGGACAGTGTGTTTGCCCTGATTTTAACGAAAAAGATCCTCAGGAGTTTTCTGTTTTATGAGATAAAAGGAGCTTATGAAGCTCCAGAACAAACTCTCAAATGTCTCTTACAGCTGATACTGCAGTCTGTCAGCAGGGGGAGCTCTTATTATCACTTTGGCCTCACTGATGGGGAGTACTAGTGCTGTCCATTTTCTACAGTTTTTGGTGTGGCGAGACATCCTTGTGTGATGTTACTTAGTTTCCACATTAAGATTTGTTTGAATATGAATGAGAATATGTTTGTACAGGAGGTAATTAGTGAGATTAAGAGATACCTCCTTTGTGGCATTTTGCAGACTCGGAGCAATATTTCTGGTTCGTGACCCACTGTTGATAAAGTTGCAGGGAGGCGAGGAGAGAGAGGACAGAGTCAGAGACAGCGTTTTGTGGACTCTGACAGGCTCTCTGCAGAGGGAACAGCTTTGATGAAGAGCAGGAACTCCCTTTATCCAGTCGAGCTACTTACAGAGTGCTTTCAGAGGAACTGGACATGCTTAATACACATTATCTCTCTCATTTATCACCACAGAGCTGGTGAAATGACAAGAGCCGGGCCTCAGAAACTTTCCCAAGAGAAGACGTCTCACAGGAAGATGGAGAAGCTCTTTTATTGAAGGGAGCGTCTGAAGAGCTGCCTGCTTCTCGTTTCAGCCGTCTAATTATGTCAGCTTGTCAAAAACCCAAATAAAAACATGCAGAGTGTATTATAAAATCACTTTGTCTTCAATTTGAGCGCTTTTAGAGCTAAACAGGCAGATGTGCGCGGATACGAGTGGTTTTAATACACTGGATTTTGTATTTGTGTTTGCTGGATCACAGGCTGGGAAAAAACAATTTGAATTTGAAGTGCTGTGGCTTTTCTCTTTTAGTATGAATGTTTCAGTGGTCAGAGATTTGAAACAGAAACATCACAGGAAGTTTCTTTGAACCTTAACATTTTTCTTTCTGCAAAACTTTATTCCATGTGAACGTGCAGAATGAAAACATCAAGTCAGACGATGCTGCATACAAATTTACAGCATTGATCTGGTCCGAGTGGGTTTATTTCCCATAAATAGAGCTGAAGCCTGAAGTTTTTTTATGAAGGACTTTAAAAGCAAATAATTGGATGTAAAACTGCTTTACGAGTCTGGACTTCAAACATCCCGTTAGTATCAGGCTCAGTGATGGAGGAATTAACTTTGGTGCAGTCCTGTTTGCACATTTTATCAAACATCTTCACTTCATTAGCACTGATAGAAACCAAAATTAACTCTAATCTTAATACAACACTGACATTATCTGTACACATACACCCAATCTGGTGTCCTCTCCTTTACCAGAGATGGTTTCAGTCACAGGAAGTCAAATCTGTTCTGTATTTTGTACTGTACAGTACTGACAATTCAGGGGCGTAAACAACTCCCTTGGTCCAGGGTCACAGCGGTAAAGCTTTGGCTGAACCCGCTCATAAAACAGACATGCAGAAGAAAAAGTGAGACTTTAGCCGATGTAAGAAAACAACAAAACGCACCTGTCTTGTGTTGAAGATGGAGCTCCGTTTTTCATGAAGAGAGGAGGTGCCAGGTTTTCCAGATGTCTACCATTGCTGTACAAATTTATTGGATGAGCTGAGTGTGAAGCACATGTGTTAAACATGCTGTTAGCTGGAGGCGCTCTGTGCAGGAGGAGATCACACACAGGGCTGCTTCTTAGACCTGGATGATGTGGTTGTTTTTCTTTTGATAGAGAGGGAATCCAGAGATTAGGAGGACATCTCTCAGTGCTTATCATCGGACATTTGAGCACTGAAAACCAAAATCTGCCTCATGCTCAACAACAATCTGGAATGTTGGGAGCTTAGCGCAGTGTTTTGGTGTGAAATGCACCTAACTGCTCCCTGCTGTGTGTTTGTACGGGTGTGTGAGAGTGTGCACTGCTGGCGTCTTTGTAGTGGTGAAGGAGTGAGTATACTTAAGAAGTCTTGGCTGCAGTTTTCCCAATGCACCTGTTTTTTCATTGTGTTTGGATCCTCTCCCTGAGGCCCAGTGAGATCATTACTGCAGACACAACCACACCATAAATAAATACAAGGACATGCTCCATTAATTAAGACAGCCCAGATGGTAGCTGCAGCTCCTTCACAGGAGCACATGTTATGAAAGAACACAAACACTGGACTACACTTAATCATGTATGGTGTGTGTCCATCTTTGAAAAGTCTTGGCCAAGTAGCTGCCATGATTTTAAAGCTGCACAAAGTGAAATGACCATCACAGAGCTGGACAAAGGAGAGGAGAAGCACATTTAACATCTGCATGTTTACACCGAGCTCTGAAATATAAAGTTAACAAGGCTTAGCCAAATCTGCAGTTCCTTCAGCAACCACTAGAGGCTGGCTACAATAGCGCATCAGCCCCATAAAGCCCCATATTAAAAACCCACTCCGATGAAAATCGTGTTTTTCTTGTTGTCTTCATGTTCATATGGCATTTTTCTGACATATCACGAGAAAACTGAGAGTGAAATTGTATTTCTGAGTATTTCTGCATTCAAATCACTGTGAATCTCTGGCAGACCCAAACGGCAGGTTCAGACCATAGACTGTATATAATATGGACAACTTGGTTCCGCCTCCCGCCAGTATACGGATTTGAAGCCAAAAAGCTCTTACTGTACCAGCATTGCACAGTAGCTGTGGCGTGTGATGTATTTTGTGGACCCAGAAGCAGACACAGAGACAGATAGCAAGTTAAACAATGTAATTTTAATATCCAACTCAGGGAAAAAGGCACGAGAGAAAGTCCGGTTTGCTGGCTGGCTGTTGTGTGGGTTGGAGACACTGTGGAGAAGCAGAGGAGATGGAAGTGAGAAGACAAACAAAGAATCACAGGGAGCAAAAAAGTCACAAGCACTTAGCCAAGGAGAAGGCCAGGAGAAGCGTCTGTACCACTGAGGAGTGAAGACAATACTCAGGCACTGAGAGTGAGGGCTGCTGGCTTCTTCAAGGGCCTTGATTGCCAATGCAGTGCAGGTGTGGAGTCTCACTCAGCCTCAGCAACCGGGGGGGGGGGAGTGCTCTGAAAAGACAGTCAAGCCAGACCAGGGACACAAAGACAACAGGAAGTTCTACCAAAATAAAACTGGAGATGGAGGCGTCCCACCACAGTAGCGTTGTACGCATTCTGTGGGAGAGTCGCCGAGATTTGCTGTGATGACGCTCGGCTCAAACAGCGTATTCCCCGGGTGAGCTATGCAATCCTTGAACACCAATAGACTGTATCAAGAGTCAATCATAGAAAACCTGACCCCCCAAATAGCTTTTAAAAAGGAGCTTCACAGAAAAAAGAGGATTTCAGTACAAACCAGTCTTACTGTAACTACATGTCAACACTGCAAGCAGGGGGGAGAAAAATGTATATTCTGTGTAATTAATTTCTAAAGTTTGTCCACAGCTCCATAAGCTTTGCTGGTGGAGATGGGATTTATGACCTATACTGCAGCCTGTCAATAGAGGGTGCTGTTCTCGGAGTGGCTTCACCCAGCAAGGAGACAGACGGCGTCCATTCAATATACAGTCTATGGTTCAGACACATTGAGATTTCCTACGTAGCACATCCAAGCTCCGCCCCCAGAGCCCTGCTATACAGGCTACACTTGGACAAATAGAGATGAACGATCGCGGAACAAGCGGAACTCGTATATTATTAGGTAATATTATATTATTACCTTACATCATGTCTCCTAAAGACATAAGTGTTCGAAAGCGGAATACCGCTTATCTAACCTGCTACTTCTACTACACCGGCAATGTTAGGCTACAAGCTAGAATGAAGAGGAGTGTGCAGAGCAGTGCTGTCTCCGCCCACGACTCAAAGGCGAATTGCTAATGAGCTACTGGAGCTCTGCAGAAGAAAAGCCCTTGAAAATGACAGAGGTAAAAAAAGTGTGGCTAAAAACTTTATAATCACAATTTAAAGACCACTGAGAATATTTCAAGTGGTTAAAAAAAAAAAAAAACAGTTGGAGTGGGACTTTAAACCTGGTTTGTGCTTCAGTGTGAGATCTACACCAAAGCATACCCTGCAGGTCCATGCAGCCCTGTACCTCTGCAAAAGCCTGTAAGACAGACAACACTCACACAGTGTAGAAACATCAGAGCTTCATAATGTTGAAAATAGAAACCAGGTCAGGGCTCGACAGTGTGACCATTTCACTTGCATTTGCAACTAAAAATAGATGTGTGCATTTTGTAAAGTGTATTTAGGGGCACGTGTGAGCGTAAAAAAAATCAGCCAAGGCAACAAATGTTTTTTCATGGAAATACCGCGGTGAAGTTAGTTTTAGGTTGGATATTCGACGGACATTCACTGCATATCTACCGGTGTCTTCTCACTCTCCATAACCAGGAATGGCAAGAGTAGCACGGTTAAATCTACTCAGCATCCTCGCTAAGCGTCAGGTGTTGAATAAAGAGACCATCAAAAAATTACCAGTTGATGTTCTCAAAAAAAAGGCTGTTTTCCTTCAATAGCTTCGACTGAATTTCACCTCTGGGATTGAGAAAGTTCTTCTAATCTAATCTTATCTTATGTCATGTGACCAATTGACCTAAAATTGATTTTAGTACTTATGTTGACCAATAAGACACACATTGTTTTATCAATTTTCATTGTGCCCCTAAAGTTCTTTGTGTGCTCCTTACTTTTTCAACTTAGGAGCTCATGTGCTCCTTGTGAAAAAAAGTTAGTGTCAAGCCTTGCAGTTTTGTGTTTTCTGCCAGGTGGGAGGACCTCCAGTGATTCAGAGCTACCTGAGCTTCATCATGATTAAAGAGCTGCCCCCAGAGTGGACTTACTGCCAGATTTATCAGGATCTGAACACCAAAGCCTGCAACTAAGTTACATATCAGAGTCCAGGAGTCCTTTTTCCATCATCCAGGTGTCAGCTTCATTTCAGCTCTGAGGTCATGAGGCAGGCTGTGTTTAACAGCAGTGAATTACAGTAATAAATCTACCAATGAGACCACAGGCCTCTGAAGTTAGCGGGAATGAATGGGCTGCTCTTATACTTGCAATCAACCATCAAATCAGAGAAATAGGCTGTATTGGCTGAGCGAGATCGTGTTGGTTCGTTCCACTTCAGTGGGGCAACATAAACTGTGATTCATAAAATAGCTCTATTGATAGTAAGTAATAAAAAAAAAATCTACTCATGCCATCCTGTCGATTTTTAGTAATCAGTGTTTCGGTGTCGAACTATTTCTTTTGCGGCGTAGTGACACTTGTACATGCGCAATAGAATATGCAGAGGGGTGAAGCGATTTTTGTCACGTGGACCAATAGGAGCCGAGTCTTGTTGCCATAGTATTAGAAATAAACAAACATGGCGATGAGCGCATCTAGCAGCGAGACAAGCGAAGAGGAAGAAAAGGAAAAAAAGAAAACAGCCTTCAAAAGTGCATAAAAAAGGAACGAAACGATGTTATATGCATCTATCATCTGTCCAGAGTGAAGACGTTCATGACTTTACAAGGACACATTGGGAAACTTACAGAACTAGTATTAGAAAGTGGCTTTCTCTACAGGGTGAGACAAAGGACCTTGCAGAAACTTAAAAAAATTGCGTGAATATATACTTTGACAGTGTTCCTGATGACACTGGGTTTCACATGACATGCTACCAGCGATTTATTTGCAAAAGGCGTTTGAGAAACAAGAACGTGATGCAGCCACGGGTCAGTCAAACCCTTAAGGCAGCATCGCCGATGCATCCACGTCCACGGCATCTGAAACTCCGCTAAAGAAACTTCGCTCGAGGTCATTGGCTGTATTGGGACAAAGAAAAAAGTGCCTAGAAAGTGAATTTCGTTCAACTACACTGGTGCTACTTGTTCAATGCATTTTTGCATAGACAATACCATTCTGGACTTTGGGTTAAAATATCTACTCAGACTATCTGTCCGACTTTTGTTACCAGCCAGAAATGTACATATATGTGAGTAACACAAAAAACGATTATATGGTGCTGCTGTTTTTGCTTATAGAAACTGCTATGTTGATTCTGGCAAGACAAAATCTTTCTCAAATGTCATAAATACATCTACTTAACATCTGAAACAGTTATTGGTGCCTTAGTATACGCATAAGTGAATTCAGATTATGAAATGTAGCAAATTTCTTGAAGAAAACGTCTCAACTCAAGTGATTTGCACCCAGCACAATGAAATATATACAGTAAATTTAGCTAGCTAAAAGCTTATGTTTCATACATAAAGATAACATAGTAGGTTGTGTTTATTGTAGAAAGGAAATAGTTTGACACCGAAACACTGATTACTAAAAATCGACTGGATGGCATGAGTAGATTTTTTTTTTTAGTACTTACTATCAATAGAGCTATTTTATGAATCACAGTTTATGTTGCCCCACTGAAGTGGAACGAGATTCACTTTCTAAGCACTTTTTCCTCTGTCCCAATACAGCCTAAAAACTCATTTTCCTTTTACTGAAAATAAAGAATGATAGGCAGGACAAACCGAATGGAGGGGTGACTTTGACTCTCTGCTGAAGTCCAAGGTGTTGTTACCCAAGGTGTTGAGGGAGACTGAGGAGCAGCAACCACGCCAAATTCACAAAGCTTCAAATCACAGTGTTTGAACATGACCGACACAAGCTTTTACAGTCCTGCCAAGTGATTTAGAGATGTTTTGTGTTTGACTGATCAGAGAAAAAACATTCAGCCCTTTATAAGGATTATTTGAAACAATATAAAGCTATCATGTTATCTGGGCCTTTAAAGCAGAATCTAGTATTTTGACCTTGCAGAGCACTTGAGTGCTGCTGGTCTCATTGATTTTCTTTTAGCACAGTCAGGTGATAAGATTGAAAGCTGGATGATCAATCAATCAATCTTTATTTGTATAGTGACAATGTGTTATCTCAAGACACTTAACAAAATAACTGGTTTTGACTCTATTTACAAAGATCCAATGTAAAGATGGGATCAGACTGAGCTCCATCCTGTAAGATCAGACCAACTCCCATATACATAGAGAGATGGACAGAGGAGGGGCTGATGCTCATAGTTAAAGCAGCTAAAAAGCAATCAAGTCCACAGCAGTGATCCAGAGGAGCATATGCCATGATAGAGCATGAAGCAATTACATGCGCTGCTACCGTTGGTACGAGGCTTTAACAGAGTCGCAAAAGAGCTCCCTCAGAAAAATAATCACTGTTGCGAGCAAAATTCAAGGCATTCCCCTGAACAGCCTACAGGACATTTATCTATCTTGTGCCCTGGACAAAGCTGAGAAAATACTCTCAGACTCAAAACATCCCTTGTTCAGAGAGTTTGAGCTGCTGCCCTCAGGCCGCAGATACCGGTGCCAAGCCCTCACCAAGAACAGGTCCAGGCGGTCGTTTGTACCACAGGTGATTTAACAATTGAATAAACTAAAATAATGTGGGCAGCTTTATTCTTTATTTTTTATTTTTAGATACTGGTTCAGCTGGTCTGAGCACAGATACATTATTTAAAGACTATTTATTGAAATACGTTTTTGAATTGACAAAGTACAGTACAGTAGTATTTTTTATATGGTCTTTTCTGAGTTGTTTTGTTTTGTTTTATATGGGACAGTGTATGGAACTGTGTATGTGTGCTGTCTTTGTGCATGTTTTCAACTTACTGCAAATGACTCACCTACCTACCTACGTACCTACCTACCTGCCTACCTACCCAAAATTTCACATGATCATTAATATCAAGGCACTTCTAATGATTTCTACTCGCACTGTGTGAGCACAACAGCACACATTATTTTCGGCTTGTTTTGAGTTGAAAATAACATTGTGTGTTGACGAGCACATCAAATCCTGTCAGACCTTCTTCTGTCAACGTGAAATTTAACATTCACTCTTTTGCCCCTCAATATCTTGAGCAGCAAGAGAATGGCAGTAACAGTAAAACTTTCAAGGTAAAGACTGACCTGCCGAACAGGCTACAAGAAAAGCATGTTACCATCTACATGCATGAGTATCAGTGCGCCCCCCAAAACAAACACGCACACACACACACACACGCGCACGCACGCACGCACGCACGCACGCACGCACGCACACACATATATACATATATATATATATCCATGAGGATGCAATGTCGACCTATATTCATGCGCAAGAAAAAAGTTTCAAAATAAGTGACCTTGGAATCCTTATAGACAGGATTACACAGGTTTGTATTTTGACTCAATATACATATTTTGACATTTACCTGTGAAAAATAAAAAATAATGAATGCCACTAAACAGAAATGTACTCACACCTGTTATTTATTTATTTTTATTTTTTTCTGGCCTTTTTGAAAAAAAACAAAAACAAACCTAGAGCTCTTTGATAGTAGAAGTGTGTGTGTGTGTGTGTGTGTGTGTGTGTGTGTAGAAAATAAGTATTTTTTGTTTTTGTTTGTTTTTCTGTCTGTGTATTTGTTTTTATGTACCTATCAGGTACTATATGAATAAAGTGTAGTTTATCCTCTTTACTGTGACTTTGTGAACTATTTTACTAACAGTTATTAATTTCATGTCCACCCCAGCATTGGTCTGTGTGCTGTACTTTTCCACAGCTGTTTATGTAATGAATCCACGTGTGCGGAGTTTGTGGCTCTAGATCACACCTTCATTGTTTTCTACCTGCAAACAGAGACATGTTTGCTCAGCATGACTGAAAACTGAATGGTTGATGTGTAAACAAGATTTGAAATGGGACATCACACGCTCTCTTTGCTCAGGAAAGTTCCAGCGTCTCAAAAGCATTTTTCACCCGTTAATCAGTAATGACTTTTGTGAAATGTAACAAGTGCTGTCACGGCAAGCTTTTGAAGAGGGAACACCTCGACAAACGTTTTTCTTTCACACAGGTAAACACTTGATGCTGTCTTTGTCTCAGCTTCATTCTGATGTGTTGATGTGCTGGTTCCCTCTACAGGAGGTGAGGTGCATTTTTAACCGGTCGACCAACACTCCTTCACAGATAAAGCTGTAGAGGATCTGCTTTTATAAGGCTGGTTCAGGATTTTATAAAACTGGTTCAGCTTTCTCTTTAAGTCTCTCCTCAGACTCAAATATAACTGATCCCTACCAACAGACTCTCACAAATTTAAATATGGTCTTAAATTTGTATTTACCTGAATGTTTGGCTAAAATAGTTCTGGCGCATCACAGACTACAACTCAAATGCAGAAACTTGGAGTAAAGTAAGAACTCCGCAGAGCTGAAAAGTGAGGATCAAGCTGTTTGAATTGAGCTGTTTTTGGAGTGACTGAAGTTTTTAAAAAGTTTCTACAAATCCAAATCTAATTGGAATAAAATAAAGTAATCCAGTTTTGGTTTTGACCTGGATCAGACCTTGAAATGCAAACCTTTCGAAGGTGATTGGGAGCCTGTCAGTCCATGAAACTGGGATTCTTCTAATCCCAGCTGAGGCTGCTGAATCCCATCTTTTCCAATCATAAATGAGCTTGTTTTGGTCTTTACTTGGATTTTCAGCAAGAACAACATCCAAGTTATCTCACTTGAAGCCTTCACTTGAGGGAAGAGAAAAACCTCAAAACAAACAACACAAATCTTGTCTTTCAATGTCATCTCAGCAGTCAGACCTCAAAACCTGCAGAAAAAAAACCGTATGAGCAAACACAGAGGCGATGGTACAAGAAGCTAATCTTCTTAAAT